AGTTATTACGTTGTATACTGATCCGGTCGACCACGTATAGACCTTCAACCAGGGTCAACCGTCCGTTGGACAAAGTCCAACGCGACGACGAGAGTAATGCCGAGAGTGAACGTACGCACGGAGACACAGACGGCTCGCGGGTGGCGAGAGTGAATGCCGGCGCGGAGAGCGGTGAACATCGGTCCAACGTCGCTCCAATATCGGTCCAACGTAACGGTTGACCCTGGCTTTGAGTCACATTCCCAGAAAAATAAATTTTTTTTTTGGTTTTTTCATTGCATTCGTAGAGGTTTTCTTCGCCGTAGCCACCTACCGTAACATCATACCGTAGGTTTTTCTTTCAAAATTACTTGACAACGTTCCTAAAAATTTCGCTGAAGTCCCACGCAGGCAAAAGCGTGAAAACATGCGCAGTTTCTAACGTTTTAATTTCCAATGGGCTTTTTTTTTCATCGTAAGATCCGTCTTCAACCGTCGGTGCCGTTTTTGTAATAACGACGAAGATAACATAGACCATCTGATGTTCTATGAGAATTTGACATGCAATTTCTTTATGACAAATCGAATGCACATGTTTTATGCCAGCAATTATTGATCATTATCGATTCAATCACAGTAATCTTCGATGATCTCACTGGCTGCGTCCATAATGCGGTCCGCCCTCCTTGCCGCGTCAGAGGTGAAAACGATATCATCAGCGTCGTAGCTGTTGTTGTCGGGGTTGCTATTGTTGTCGGTGTCGTTGAGCTAAATTCTCAGGAAAATTCGTTTAGGTGCCAAATGCGGGTTATCGATTTTTGAGCTCCGAAAAAAAAAACTTCTCCACTGAATTCAATGAAATGCTTTATATGTCTATCAGCTACGGTGCGCTTTACGCTTGTTCGTGTATGCTTTGCGGTTACCCTAACGGACGCCCGCCCCTTTATTTACGCGCTTATATCGGCGAATACCCTCCAGTTTTATACTGCTACTTGGTCTGCAGACGCTTCGATAGCTACTGCGACCTCCTTGTCCCATTGAAAACGCTATGAACCATTTTGCCCCCCCCCCCCTCCCCCGGAGCCAGCTACCCCTTCTTAGTTTTCGACTGCCTCTTCTACTATCACTTAAGCTCTACAAAGTTTCTTCTATTGTAATCAAAGATAAAACATTCGGTGTTGGTCAGTCACTCCTTGGGATGCGCCACGCATTCTATTTTCTGTACAATTTGTACGAGCTAAAATGAAGTTTTTTCGGACTCACTCAGTGTTCACAGATGGAATAGTGGAAACGCTCAAAGGGGTATGGCTTTATGAAACTGATTGGAATGTACAATATTTGTAAACTCTTACATCATCGATCAGGCCGCTGTAGTCCAATTCTCCGGAATTTCGGTCGCATTGGTCGCTGTTGTACAAAATCTGTAAATATTGATAAATTGATTGTTGTGCATACCAAAAAGCGTTTCCGGGCACGAGCAACAACTCTGTGGTTATTTCTCTCGAAGTGGAATTAAAGATGTAACGAGGGCTCCGATGAGGAAAATAGCAATTGTCACTCCCCTTGGGGGTTTTCTTTTTGTGGAATGGATAGCGCTACGACGAAGAGATACTGGCGGTCGAGAAGATATCACAAAAAAAGAGAGGAAAGGGAACATGGCAACAAGCGAGACGCAGGCATCCTACTGCGTAAACGTGCTAGCTCCTTTGGTCAGCTCGCGCCTTCGAGGCACAGGTGCGACAAAGTTTTCACTTTGTGGCGAGCTCCGCTCAAACGTGAAATGCGTCCTATATGGCAAATGGCGGTATTTTCTGAAAATTCACGAATTCTGAGCCGTCCACCACGGATGAAGCGCACTGGACACATGAATCGCATTAGAAAGGTAAGACCGATAGACAGACAAGGACGGAGAATTGCATGTTCCACCTTGACTTTGGGAGACTTACATTCGAATCGTTCAGACGTCGTATGGCTCTTGACAGCTGAATTAGTGCATTTCTGTCATAGTTGACTTCCCGCACTTCATCGAGGGCTTCAATTGCTCTTCTGAAATCCAGTATCAAATGAAACATGGAGGTGATTATGCCGCGCTATCTGATGGCCAGTACCTGAAGAGACGAATGTTTCGCTGGTTCTGCTCGTTGTCGATCATATCGTTCAAGTCACTGATTGCATCTCTGATGGCAAGCTGTAAATATGACAATCACCTCAGCAAACGGTCATTTGAGCGGAAGTGGTGTAGTGGTTCAATGACGAAGTGGTGAAAAAAAAACTAGAAAACGACTCGAAACCGTCGAAACAAGACTTTTGCTTTCTCAACACATAATTTATTGGGCCACCTGCTTATAAAGACTGCTAGTACGTCCCCGTCTGCGATAAAACCCCAAAAGATGACCTTTGTCTTTAGCTTATACTCCATCCTCTCTTACACTACGTGGGAGTGCACTTGATTTTCCCAATTCTTAAAAACCTACTAAAAAGAGAGGGAGTACGCCGTTTGGACACGGTGAACAGACGAAGCCAGAGTGAATCATGATGTCCCTGCCGCAGTTACGTACAAGTTGCGGCGCATTGATGCGCTTTCTGGAGGACAAGTCTGATAGTGTAAGCAAAAACAAGGAGGCGTTCCGGCCACATTTCGATCAGGCGGGTAACGAATCTCACTTCTCTCTCGTTGAGAAGAGCTCGAGAGAACAAAGAAGTGGGAGGCGAAGCACATGGGAATAATGAGCGCCCGGTGCACGCAATTCAGCGCCAAATAACAGCGCGCAGTGTACAAAGGAATGAAACAGGTAGGAATATCATAATTCACGTTGACTTCAGGTGCTCACCGTGTCCAAACGGCTTATGGGAAGAGGGGAGGGACCCGAAATCGCGCAAAATTACGTATACATATCTTCTGAAAAGAACTGATAGATTTGAAAATCATTAATGTCTACCGCATCCTTCCAAGAATAGACTGCTATTTCCACCCGAAATAAACTTCCCCCCCCCCCACAAGCTGACCAACTGTTGGAATATAATGTGTCGGGCGCGTAGCGTTGGTTAAGCTTTGATAAGCAGGCCACAAACCCTGAATGTGCATCAAGAAAAAGGGCACGCTTCGAAAAGATTTGTTAATATCAATCATTATTATCAGCTATCATCTGAAAATACCTGAAGAATTCTAGCAGTAGGCGGCACGATGACTCTTCTTGTTGTCGATCTGGGACGTAATGTGGTGGCTTCATTTGTGTCCTCATTTGTGTCTTCATTTGTGTTTGCTAAAGTTCTTTTCGCGGAATGAACAACTTTCCTTATATGTTCGCCAACTATGTTACAGGGTGGGCAAAAATTACGGTAACAAGATAATGTGCTCATGGAAAAACAATGTGGCCAGGAAGACACTCGTGGACAAACAACAATTATTAGGAGGAAGTGACCAAGCAGAATAAATCATCATTTCTTGGACAGGCCGCTCCGTCTGCGTTTGATACTGAGTGCGCATCGCTGCTGAGCGCGCATCGTGCCTGTTGTGTAGGTAGGTGACATCGAGCTTTCCCTAGGATCTTCTTTAATTATCGATGCTTTAGTGATACTTGTAGCAGCCCATCGTCTTCAGTAGACTCCACGGAAAATAACCCACTTGCTTTAAAATGGGAGAATAAGGTTGGCACACGTTCAATGTCATGAATTCGGGAAATTCTGCAAAACCAATGTTGCACAATATTTGCTTTGTGCACAAGCGGTCTATCTGCGTGTCCAGGGATTGCTGTCTGCGGTCTTCAGCCAGATGGCTTATGAGGTTCGAAAGAAATCGGATGTCTTAACAATATAAAAATTGCCTTGTTACCGTAATTTTTGCCCACCCTGTTTATAGTAACGTTTATTGTTTTTTTTTTGGTTACAAATTTAGTGGTAATATTCTCACCTGATCGCTGAGCAAGGGTGCATGAAAGCGAAACCACGAGTCCCAGGAAGAGCAGCATTGGACGCAGTGATCCATTTGCACAGTAGGTCTATTTATACAAAACTTCAGCATGGAATCAAAAATTAAATTAACATAGATGTAGTCAACATCGGATTATGCTTTTGGAAATATCAAAACAGTAAGGCTATCTGAATTTGCTATTTCCCATTGATACCCTATTGTGTCATGTTTTCAACGGACAGTACACTTCTACTGAAAACAACTGACACAGCAAAAATTGTAGAAGAGCTTTCTCCTCAATGCGATTACTTCGTGATCAAAATTTTGTACCTGAAAATATAAAAACAATATGTACATTTGAAAATTGATATTCCCCGATTGCTCGGCTACAATGAACTGTTCCCAGTAAAGATCAGTACTTTTGTACAGGCATACCAAAGGCAATTGTGGAGTCCAAGGTAGAGCTTTCCTATGAACAGCGGACAGCTTTTATTTCCGCTGTTACTATGGAGTGTGACTGCATAATGTTGATGCGGCTTGTTTCGTGCGCGTCTTCTATTCTCGAGCAGACTGCCAGGTTTGAGTTTCTGTTTTTCATGAGAATATCTTTCTTTCTTCCATTAACAGAAATGCTTATCGGAAATTGTCCTCATCTTCACCACACATGCTTACTACTTCTATAAATGTTAGAAGGCGGCGGGGCCATTCCGCGATCTCATCAAACTTCTCAGCGAGGGAGCAATTAGCAAAACCCAAGACGAAGGATCGTTCAAGAAGTTTAAAACGCCACATCTACCGAGCGGAGCTCCTACAGACTAGCAATTCAATCAGACGTTGAAAAACTGGCAAACGAACAAATTTTAGGATGAGCTGGATGCGTTGGTGGCCAGTGTTAGAGCGTGGATCGTCTCCGAGAATCGTGACTTTTTTATCCGTGGAATCACCGAGAGAAAAGCAAATGGGAAGCATTCTTGTGGGATGGTGACCACGCTCCGGGGTTATTATTTAAACATGTTTTTGTTGAATAATTTTGTCGTTTTCGCTGAATAAAATCTGTTGGAAAAAGCCGCAATAATTATGCATCAACCCAATAATTATTAGGATATAATTCTCGATTGAAATCGATTGAAGTTTATAGGGCATTTATAGGTATATAAGGCACGGATTATAGGCACGAGCTGTATGGCAAGGGCGCTGCTTTCCATGAGTACGTCCGAGGCATCAAGTCGTTGTGCGGGCCTGAGGTTATTGGAAGCGAGACTGGTCGGTAGCATGACCTTCACCTAGACAAAATGTTCCATAAATACTGAAACAAAACGCGCTCCATTTCTGTGGGAGACTGCTAGGCTCTTTCTCCAGCGTGACATTATTTGCCTCAACATCTTCGTGAAGGCCAATTCACGATTTGGTTGATTTTCCTGTGCATGGCGCATCCGCACCTGAAATAATAATAGATGTGCTATTTTCTTAGAGAAGAGGCCGGGCATTTTCCAATGAATATCATCGTCTCTTAAATATTATCCCTTCACGGCCACTTCCCGACTTCCAACGGTACACCGTTTCTGTGCAGCGGGCCAAAAGTTTGCAGGCTGGCGCTGTGCCGCTCTTCTGGTCTGTCATTTACGTTGGCGAATAGCTCCGCCTCACCTCGATCCCGACTGGGCCAGCGTTTCTTCTGATTCATGTTTTGAAGATTTCCAGTTATACGAGAGTGCACCCACATGGAGATACTCAAGCCTTCTCTGCGTTTTCTGAGGGAACCTCCAGAAGAACGCCGCTGTGAAATACTTAATGGAAGTGATTTACAGCCATAGTAACGACAGTAGAAGAAGCTACATCTGTCACAAATTTTGGCGACGGGGACGATTCCACTTGGTTCTCGGAGTGCCTTTACTAGGAACTTCTTTTGACCTTTTCCATTATGGCAATAGCATTTTTCACTTCTACTGCATCCTATTCTATCGATCGTTTTGCTTCTATTCTCCGAATTCGAACACTTTGACCTGATTCTTTCAAGGCGTCGCCCTAATACGCGGCCGCTCAAGGCGCACTTTTTCCGTGCGTTTCCTTGGGCCGTATGCTATCCTCCCCGAAGGGGTTGGGGGACGAAAATCCTTTAAATTTTCTCTGTCTTCCCAACTGGGATTGCCCTGATAAAGGGCCTACATTTAATGTATGTATGTAGGTAAAAGTAAACATGCACTGAAAATGAAGAAACTATATCGTTCAAAACAAATAAATTTAAAGGAAACTTTGGATCACTTAGCTTCGGGGAAGCATACGGGCGTTTGTTCCAACCTGGCCTACCCTCGACCGTCTGTGGTTTTCGTTTGTTTCTCTTCAGAAACTGAATCTTCTGCCGTGAAACTTTGGACGATGCCTCTAGTGATCACAACTAACACAATAACGTTGGGAAGGAATGTGAAATTTTTCCGCTGACAATTCCTTTAAGGGTTCGATAGATATTACCAAAGCGCTTTTTCCTATATGTTTTGAGGGTTCCATTCAAATCATTAAGAATACAACGGCCATGTGAGAGTTGTGAAAAAAAAATAGTGGAACCTTGTTTTCCTTTGCAATAATGGGGCGGAAGTGGTGTAGTGGCAAGTGGCACGCTTACACCACGCGAGCGGTCCGGGGATCAAATCCTGGGTCGTGAGTCGCCCGGGCCAACCAAGCCTTCCATCCCTCCGGGGTCGGTTAATTGGGCTGGCCCCCGCAAGTCATTGTATAGGCCACATCGCATTCAAACGCCACTGCGAATGTACAAATGGAAGTAGAATGCGTGCCGCATCCCAAAAAGGGATTGATCAACGGCAAATGCTTTATCCTTTATGCTTTTTATACAATAGTGATCAAAATTCAGAAACTCTTTCTTTTTTCTAGCTCGGACAGTGAAGGTAGAAGCGGTGAAGCTGAAGGTAAAATAATGGACCACAAGTGTCATAGAGAAAGTGACATACAGGGTGGGGCAAAATTACTGGTGCACCTAAATATAATGGATTTTTTTGAATCTTGTTGTACACTTTCTTGTCTAATTCTTTCATGGTATGTAGCTTGAACACTCTGCTACTAATACGCCCTGAACACAAATTGGTTAAGCCTTCCACTTTGTGAAATGCACCAATCAACCTCCAGCAGAGCGCTATGCGAAACCGTTCTCGACGATTTTTCAAATCCCCAAATTTTGTTCAAATAGCGTTCAAACTCGGTATTTGTGTCTTTACTTTGGAGAGGATTACGGGTGAATTCACCAAAGGGTTTGCTTCAGGACACTGACCGTGAATGGTCCAGAAACAGTGCACCGAGCAAACCCTCAACTCCACCAATTATGACGAATGGTTCTCCAATTCTTCGGAAAGACCGATATATTTCCAAGTATGGGCTATCCTAAAGGAAAAAGTCTGCCCTATCAATTACCGAAATTTGAACCTTCTCATGACGGCGCTTTTGGAATCCTGGGACAAAATTGATGAAAAATACCTGCGTGCCACATGGCATGCGTATGCCAAATGCTCAGAGAACTGTGTAAAGGCTAGAGGCGATCATTTTGAGAACTGTTAATACGTTTTGAATTGTCATCTTTTCTACAAATAATATTCGTGATTAGAATCGATTTCTGAAAGCTAGTCTCGAAATGCCAGCAAAATATTGGTGCACCAGTAATTTTGCCCCACCCTGTACAGCGACTTTTCTCCTGAAACTAACCTTGAATGGGTAAATATAATTCTCCATAAAATTGGTGCCATGATCGGATGAAAACTTTCCATTTCTCATCAAATTCTCTTTTTTCCTTGCCTTTATTTGATTTTTTTCTTCTGTTATCATTTTCATTCTTGAATAATGTTGCGCTATTTTTATGGGTTCAGGTGCAAAAATATCATTGTACAGCCATTGAAGAGGTGGTTCAAAACTTTCCAATATGAAATGGAGTTGTTGCTCAGCGGTTCATCCACGATCACATCGTTTCGACCAAGATTTTCTAGCATTACTGAAATTGAGCAACCGTGATGAGGGTCGCATTTAAGAGCAGCGCCATCGCGAGTGTGCTCGAAAACCCAACTCAATATCCAGTCACGTATCCACCGGACTATTTTGTCTGTTGTATAAACCGAGTTCCCTGAAGAAAGACAATCTAAAGTCGATGTTGTGATTGTTTCAATGATCAGATTCAGGTGTAGTGTTGTCATCGATCCATTTAGCTATCTAACAAAGCACTGTTCCTTCTCATGTAATTGAGAGTTTTCAGCTCAATTTTCTTTAAAGGCAAAGGTCGGGCTCAGGCACGCTAGAGAAGTAATTCCCGTGCCTGGAGGTTGTATGTGGGTAGCTGCACACATTGCAGCTTAAAAACCCCGTT